AAAACGAATGAACATTTATGAATCTCATGAGCCTGTCTTATCTTATGAGCTTTCTAGAACGAAAGCCGTCATTACGAAGACTTGGAATTAAATGTACAGTGTGGCCGGAAATTTCCTTTACACCTGAACTAAATGCGTATAATATTGTAAGGTGGTAAGATATTAAAGACTTGAACTTCCCATCAGGGACTGGATATCAGCAACTTCCCTTTGCAGAAGCTAGTGACAAGTGTGTGGGTCCAATGACGAAAGCGCAACGTTGAATATATGACACAGGTGATGGATAGATTTTTGAACGGTTTGGTGAGGAGCCATCAAGTTGTTATATTTTGATCACGTGAAAGAAGAAGTCTTTTTGCCTGGGACATGTTTTGGATTCCCCAGCCCTTTATCCTTGGCCGCCTAGAAATCCAAATCTTACAACACCAGGCCTATGGGGATCATCAAATCATACGTAACAAAGAAGTGATACGTTGACAATGATGCTTTGTTGTCAAGTGTGCTTGAAGCTTTCCAGCATATGACACCGCAGCCTCTACAGCCGATCAGTTAGAGGATATTCAAGCGTATCAAACGCTGCAGGGATAATGGTGGTGCAGGTACGGACGCTTTGAAGAAGTAATTACAATGAAATAACTGCATGCGTAAAGAGACTTTATGACCATCTTGTATATATACATATATATATATATGATATACGTGTGTATGTGTATGTCAAATTTCATATTAAATCGTATATACAGGACAGATAGAAAAGGTGCCTGAAAGCAATCAAGAATTAAAATTATCATACAATTATTTAGCCAAATATTTTACATTTTGAACAAGGTTTATTGCTGTCAGACTCAAATCATAATACTAATATTGCAGCAATCGCAATAGGATTACATCTAAACGTAAGATTAGTAACACTATAAAAAAAAACAATTTTAATTTCCAGATAATGACTTAAAATAGGTTAAATGCTTTCTTGTAAATTCGAAGTATTTATTTATAAAACCTATTAAAATATGAGAATGAAAAAGTAAAATTTTCCCCATTTTCTAATTAATAAGAAATAAACAGTAAAACTTTTATACAAAGACTTTATTTTTATATAATAAATTAAAGTTCTTTCATAAAATTAAACTTAGCTTTTTAAAAAATAAAATTTTTAGAAGTATTTTGCTCAGATATTAATGGGTGTTCAATTCTTTATTTTGGATTTTAAAATAATAAATTGTCTTTAATTAGACAATCTGTAGAGCAGAAATGAGCAAAAGCCGAAACTCCCACCGAATACGGCCCTTCTAATGTTTTAATCTATTCCGTTACGAAACTCTGTGCAACGACATTTTCATCTCTTTCCTAATCAATTTTATACGCAAACTGTCGAAATCAGCAGTACGAATGCACATCTAATTGTTGCCGTGTATATCCAATAAAGGTATTGAATATTATAGTGCTATCTTTTTCAACATATTTAATTAAAAATTAAACAATGTGAAATACGAATATTGTTGAATTAAAAGACTAATAAAAGAAATCGGAGCTTAGGGTAAGAACATTTCACCACTACATTTTTATTTAAAAATGAGACCGTAGCAATGTCAGTCATCTAAAAAAAGTATTTAGTTTTACTTAAATCGGCATATTTATGTGAAAAAGAATTTTTGCTAATGAAGTGCACACAAAAAATATTAATCACAAGTTACTGGTAAAAATTTACTCTCTATTAAGTGACACAAATAAGTTTAAACTTAATTAAAATACAATAACACACCGAACAAGTATTAATTCAGAAGTAAAACAACAAAAATAAGATTTATATTTTCAAATTTTTACAGGACTAGTTTCGATGGTTTTACCGAACCATCATCCTCATCTGCAAAGGCGCAAATAAACGACATATGATATAGTGATTAGATAAGATAAGATAAGAAAGGACAGAAGTCAAGCTACTGGCGCCATCTATTGATGAAACCAGAACTAAAACATAATTATTTTAAAGGCTGAAGACAAAGATGGATTGGAGTTAGGGTCGTTAACTAGAAGAGAAAGATTTTTTTGAATGTGAAATGCCTCTAAAAAATCCAGTTCACCAATGGAAGATTCCATTGATTCTGTTATTAAGTTCACTTTTGAACTTGAGACTTGCATACTCTTCCGTTTCTCGACATTCTGATTACACGTAACATATCCAACTTCAGTACCACGGTTTACCGTAAACCTTCATCGGTTTGCCTTCCACAACACCTCAAATCATGTCATCCGACTAAGCAAAGGATAGCTTCATTTTATTCCTATGTTTTCCGTGATCTTCAAGTTTGCTCCTCCAAACTATCTCTTGATGAAGAACTAAATTATTTAAAAGTAGTAGCTATAGACAGCGGCTTTTCACCGAACATTATCATTCAAGCAGTTAAAAAATTATCATCTCAACACACACAAAAAAAGCACACTCTTGGATTAGGGGATTATAAAAATTCTGTTGCCATTCACTTCTTTCCATCAATTAGCTAGAAAGTTTCACGTATTTTACAGAAATTCAATTTTCGAGTCGTTTATTCTCCAATGAATAAAACTCCGAGTTCCATGATCAAGAACCCCATTCCGGATATGAATTCCTGGGGTATTTACAGGATTCCTAAAGATTTAGACTTGAAATTTCACGTTAAGGAACATAAGGCATATGTTAGAAAACAGGAAACACAGAAGTCTTCTGTTACCCAGCATTGTTGGTCTGAAAATGACACTTTCAATTTTTTCTGATTAAAAATTTTTAAAAATTCAAATTTCAAAAATTATTAAAAATAACTTCTTCTATTGCTGAACTGGATTTTCTAGAGACATTTCACATAAAAAAAATCTTTCTGTTCTAGTTAACGACCTAATTACAATCCATCTTTACCTTCAGCCTTTAAAGAAATTATATTTTAGTTCTGGTTTCATCAACAGATGGCGGCAATAGCTTGACTCCTGTCCTTTCTTATCTAATCACTATATCTTATCTCGTTTATTTGCTCCTTTGCAGCTGAGGATGATGGTTCGGCAAAACCATCGAAACTAATCATGTGAAAATGTTAAAATATAACTCTAATTTTTGTTGTTTGACTTCTAAATTAAGTTTAAACTTAATTTGGATAAAATAATCGCAAACGAACGTTCAAGATTTCATGTCTCACTTTAAGTATGTATTAAAATTAACAACGGTTTTTACATCACAGTGTAAAATAATAATTCATAAAAATGAAATAAAAAGTCATAACAATAAAAATGCCTCCAAAGCTATAAATTTCTAAAAATATTTGATTAATCATCAAAGCCCTTTTTTGCTTCATAGTCTTTGAAAATTTTACATGTACAGTCGTGTGCAAAAGTTTAAGACCCCACATGGAAAATCAGATTTATTAGATTTCCGCAACAGAAACATATATTATAAATGAAAAAAAAAAAAATAGACTTGAAAACTTATTGAAATGTAGTCTGTATTTTGTCGAATTTCCTTTATCACTACTGCAATCCTTTTAGGCATGCTATGAACTGCTATGACTGGCAGTAAGCTTGAGAAATCTCTACATACCACACATGCTTTATTGCTTCAACAAGTTCTGTAGCACTGGATGATAGCTTCTCCGCGACAATACACCACATATTCTCTATGGGATTCAAATCTGGGCTGCTACCTGGCCAGCAAACGCTTGGATTTGAGTAGCCCTCAGATAGTCCTTAACGTGCTTTGGCCTGTGACGCGGAGCCCCATCATGCATGAAAATTGAACATCTGTGAACATCCAAGTGAAGCTTCAACTTGTCATGTAACAAATTAAGGTACCGACTGCCGTTCACCGGCAGGAAATATACATCAGCAGTACCAGACGCAGACATTGCACCCCATATCAACTGGCTTGGAAGGTGTTTCACTGTCGGAATCATGTATCTGTCATCTCTTTTTCCAAATGGTCGGCGAATACATTTAGCACGTGCAGAAAATTGCTGCACACTTGACTTATCGGAAAATAGTACTGTACTCCACTGTTGATCGGTCCAATTCTGATACTGTCTGGCAAAAGTCAGTAATTCCTTTCTCGTACTTTGAGTAAGTCGAGGTTTCCTTGCAGGTTTATAGGAAAATAAACCATAATTTATAGTCAGACATCTCCAAATAGTACTCGAAATGATGTTGGCACCCTTTGCAGCCAGAGCAGCTCTAATTTATTGCAAGAGGTTGTTGTACATCGAGTGATCAGCCTTCTTATCACGTGCACAAGTTTTTCTTGGGCGACCGCTTCTCTTAAAATCCGTATAATTTCCCAAAATTTTGAATTTACTGATAGGTTGATGCATGCCTGTCTTGCTGACATTTACCTTCAAACTTATTTCACGTTCAGAAAAGCCGACTTCATCCAGGGCTACTATTTTTGCCCGTTCTTGAACAGTAAGTGAAGGTTTTTTTACCCATTGCAAGAATTATACATACAACAGCACTGTGTACGCAAAGTCCAATACGAACTACTGATAAACGAGACCACGTTATATTTATAGAAATAGAAAGCATTTTATGCAATCAAAGCATGACATAACACAATCACGATCGAAAATGATTGCATTCTGTTAAAATACAGGGAAACGGCTACTGGTCTTAAACTTTTGCACGTGACTGTATATTGTATAATCCATTCGTTGACCTGCATGCAGAGCCATCGTGACCCTGTATTCACCCTATGAGGTTTCTTTAAAGGAAAAATATGAAATTAAATGTATAAAATGCTATTTTTAATTGTAATTTTTCAATCAATTTCTACCAGATGGGGGTATTTCCCTTCCCTCGCATCGCGGGCTGACAAACAATAGGGGTACTGGGAAATATTGTCACATCAGAACCATCCGACCTTGCGACGACCTTGTTCGCGTGAAAATCTAAAAGGATCTTTCCGGCCCATGGCTAAAGGTATTTGTAACCCCTCCTTTAGAGTATGTTTTTATTGGAGTCCACTAATATAAAAAGAGAAATGGACTTACACCACCGGTTACTAAGGGATCTGCTTTTCTGTTGAGCAAAAGACGAACCATATCTTCTCGCACTTGTTGTGCAGAAAGATGGAGAGCCGTCAGACCATCCTGGAAAAGAGGAAGATGAAGATAGAAAAAGGTATTCAAAGTAAATTCAAATTTAATCATGTCAACATAGTAATACAATAATTGTAAAGTAAGAAATCTTCTAAAAAATTTAAATCAAAGTAAATAAATAGTTTTTATTAAATATATCGAACAGTAATATAATACAGAAGGATAAATTTCCAAGAGGAAGGGATAGGAAGTGAGTATTATTAAGAGAGTTTCCTTTAAAAGAAGTATGTATTATGACTTGTAGCATTTTATTTCGATACATTCATTATTTTGCTAAAACATTTTCAGTAGCTTCCCAATAAGTCTTACTAAAAATTTTCAATTGCGTCCATAATAAATACTACAGAAATATATTTCTGTATACTGAGGATGCATGTTTTAGTAAATTTCACACTATAACCATAACTAAAAGAGGAAATTTCCAACCTATAATACAATGCACTTTACGTAATATGGATTGTGCTTTCTTACTTTTTTTTCGGTAGTAGAGCTGAGAACAGCATTGGTGCGAGGATGGTATGCAGGCAGCTGGGTTTAGAAAATCTACGTTTTGCATCGGAGAAAAAATACATTTATATGTCCAAAATATAGCAATATTTTCGGAACTATACTGTATGGGTATATCTTTGCTCGATTCAACAGATATTATACCACATTCATCATTAACTAGATTTATTTTAAGTTTAAATAATAATAATCAAATTAATTACATTTTTCATATTACAATGCATAATTTAAAAATATACATTTTCTTACCATTTACATTAAAAAGGAAGGAATGAAAAACTGATGAAATGGTGTCCAAGGCTCTCATTATCATATTTAGAAGTCTGATAGAAATGATGGCAATTGTAGGCATAGCAGAGTTTCGTATAAACATTGAAGACGATTAACTAATGTTACATTCCTTTTAAGTTGTCTGTTTACCTTATAAAATTCTGGACTATTTTGAATTTTCTGAATCCACTTTCGAAATTACTAAATATTAAATTACAATGTATTAAGTGATTTTTTTTTCTTGCAGCATTGTACTTTAAACTATTTCTTCACTATTTTACCGTTTATATTTCCCTAAAAACCTTTCTAAGGACAGAATAATCATCCTTTGCGAAATGTACACTCAAACCTGCTTCTGTGCGGTGTATAGGGACTACATAAAAAATCGCACGAAACTTCACGAGTAGCTATAAAAAATAGAGTCGTTTAGAGTTGACTTTTTCAGGTACTATGTAGTCGGTGATCAGTTTTTGCGACGACTGTTGTTTTACTAGACGTTTATTTATGTCTCGGTAGCCAGATACACAAGATTGAAGCTACTTTTTTTTATTGATTGTTTATTTTTTTATTGATAACTTCATGAATTAAGTTCAAATTTGATTGAAAATTTCATATACAGCACAAACAAAATCGTACAAATCAAAAATTGCACAAAATTGTCCTCACAAAAACAGGTTTGAGTGCATTTTGTCGAATTGTTAAAATGAACATAAATGCGTCGGCACTTACCTGTTTCTTAGATAAAGATAGCTCACGGATATTATTCACAAAGATCATCTTGTTTCTAATATAAAACCGTCATTTTAAGTCAGGTTATTTCAAATCGAAAATAAATAATGCTGTTATGAAACTTCTGAAGAGTTTTTTTAAAATTTTTATTAAAAATGCCCAATACTTCTAATACTTTTCATAAAAGTTCTTAGCCATCTTCCTTTTCAAATTTTTAATAACTTTTTGCATTTAATTATAATTTTTTACGAGGGAGCCACTAGGTTTACAGAAGAAAACGTGTTGCCAAAATAAATATAAACTGAATTTTTTGTTATTTATTTCTAAGGTAGAAAGCATTGCTTTGATCTGATTCCAGTCAGAACAAAAGAGAAAGCTTTGTTTTGAGTTCAAAAATCAGTGGCAGAGCATAATTAATATATTCCAAGCAAATATGATGTGATCTCAAAAGTAATTTTTTTTCCTCGAAAACATGCATTAAAATTTTTCATCTAAAACAATTTTTACTGAAACAGTATTACTTATACTAGAATTAATTATTTATTTTATTCTAGACCCAACACTTTTTGAATGGTATCACAAGTGTCATCGCAAGTGTGCTCTCAAACTTTCTTTTAGTTTTTTTTTCTGTTAAAATACCAGTCCCTTGTGGAAAAGATCAACCTCAATGGTGAATATACTACTACTTGATATCCTTCCTCATTCATCAGAATATGACATCCATGATTTTAATTTTAATCTTATATTTTCACCAGTGATCCTGCACGTTATACCATGCATTTTTTGTTTCTTCTGCTGTTTCATCCTTTGATTTCATTCAAGAGGTATTTAAATTTTTCTCGTACAAAAGCCAGTATAGCTGGGTCAAAATATTTATTCCCGTTGAAGAGAGATCCAAGTGTCTTTTGAAATACCCAGAGCCTCTTCTAGAAGATCAAAGTAGAATTAAGATTTAATTTTGCATATATTTAAATTTTGTTTTGTATATGCTTCATGGAAAGCTGTTGTGGCTCCAATGAAATAAACTAGAATCTCATCTTAAATGGAGAAAAACCTAAATAGCAATAAATAATAGATTAAAAGAAGCGAACTAGATATTCATCGATGATTTATCAAATGAAGATTATCGCTATAAAAATAGATCTTAACAAAGGAAAGGGGGATTTAGGGATTTCGAACTAAAATACGAGGTAACATCGTAATTTTTATTTCATATGATTAGTAAAATTTACCAGAAGTCGAAGTGAAATTTCTCATTTAGCTTCTATTTTGTAGTTTCTAATGTACTAATAATTAAATATAAAACTGAAAATCAATTATAGTTCTCTGAAATTATTCGTATGATTTTGTTAATGACCAGAGTCTGATAGATTATTCCCATTCTTGGTAAAATATTAGCATGTAACTAAAAAGCAAAAGTAGACTCACTCAGCTATTAAGGTGTAAGTAAAAAAAGGTATGATTTATTGTATTCCATTTTTTATAAAATCTTGTTAGAGATATGGAAAATTGTCTGACAAATATGAAGTTTAAAATAATTTTTATAGAAACTTTTCCATAATTTTTATTATGGAAATGTTTCTATAAAAGTTATCTAAACAGACAATCATTATAGTCACCCGTTTTCAGTGATACAAGTATATGATTCAAAGGCTTACATGGTGTTTTACGAAACGTCTGATAGAAGTATTTTTGAAGATATGTAATTTTCGTCATTATAAACACGAATTTTCCATTCATACTTCAACAGTATCACATAAGTTTCAATTATCTGGAAAAGCAAGAATTTATTGCTTATAATGGTCATCGATTTATTTTAGTATTACACAGTGTTTTTTTATAGGTCATACACAAGTTGTAATGACATAATTTATTGTCCAGGTTTTCAATAAATGCATATTATATCTATTTCAATAAAAAACTGTTATATTCTTACATTTTGAAAAACTAAGAAGTTTACGTTTTGTTTGAAAATCTGAGTATGCAAGACATATGAGAACTATATTCTTTAGCGTCCTGCTCAACGATTTAAATTAATGACTAAGAGTTTTCTTTAGATAATAAATGTACCTTAAAATCCTTACATCATCATTTTATTTGCGGAAATAAACAGCTTTGTCTTTTCAAATACTTTCCGGCAAGGTCTCAGAACTTTATACGCATTTAGGAAAGGAAATTAATATCAATCCTCAAATAATTCATCATCGTAAAAAAAGAATGCAAGTAGCCCTCTTACGTGACTTGTTAATCATAATCGCGATTTGCAAGTTCATTATTTTTGTGTCGCAGACTACGGATGCTTTCGTGATTTGTCAACTTTTCTGGGCGACTTCCAAGAAATTAAACTCAGTCCCTGAGATTCAAGGCTGCTGGACTTCGAGTGACCCATTATCGAATCAAGGAGGGATAACGTTCGGCCATGACACCAGATTCATTGAACGGAAGAGTTCGTTGATCGAAAAAAGGTGAAATGTTCTAATAAAAGAACAAGGGCAGATCTAGAAATCCAGTATCCATCATTAACTTCTGAATGGGTGCACTGAACTAGTAAGGCAACAGAACCTTGTACTATATAATTATAATCGAGGCATAACGATATGCTTCTAAAATAGTAACTAAATCAGGTTTATTGTTAAGTAATGCAGGCAAGAAAATATTAAACTGTGAAGGTAGATTTATTTCTTTAATTTCTGAAAATGAGGTAACTGAAAATAAATTCTAAAAATGATTATCACCACATCCAGCTCTCATATCATGAAAAAATGGAAAGCTTAAAATTGGGAAGATTGATATTATAGGAATATTCTTATACTGAAGTCTTTTATAAGCAATGCTTTATAAGAAATGCCCAACCTGAGCGATATTTTAAGACCGAAATGAAGTAACGCCAAGATCTAGTGTTTGAATATTGTTTAACTTGAGGAATCTGACGAACTCGAGTAGAAGCGAAAAAGCGGTAAGTTGGCCGCCATTATTTTTGTGTGTTCTGGTTGTGCTATTCTAAAGCGGTTATGCTGATTATGCAATATGTATTTTAGGTGCGGATGGCAAGTGTCCATCCGAGTAGAATATGTAAAAATTCTCAGTAGTGTGTGTAATTTCTATTAAGAGAAGTATCATTAAAAGTAATACGGTCAGCTACATTTGTGCATAGATCTGATGATTTTTGTTTAGAAGCGTGATTAAATGCAATAATCGAATATTTGTCGTTTAACATTTGTAGCTTCGCTTTAATAAACAAAGTTCAGATTAGGATATACAACTAATTTGTTTTCAGAAATAGAGCAGATGAATAAGTGCAAATGCTAAAGTTATTTCTGTAACACAGAATGCATCAATAAGGTTGGACATGAATCAAGTTTTATCCCGTTTTCTACTTTCTGATAGCGTTAGCCTACTCGTTGGGACTGCATTTGCTTTATACGCCTTTTTTCGCAGTAATTTTAATTTTATATTAAAAAAGTTATTAAGACTTTCAGATACAT